TGGGTTAGGATTGAACTGAAGAAGCTTTCTGGACGAGAAGTGAAACTTCCAGAGCAGGGGGAAAACCCCAAGAAAAGCCCAGTTGCCTTTTGGAAAAAGCACCTTTGGGACGTAAAGATTCTCCTTCCCATCATCCTTTGGCTTAGGAAGAGGACTAGTAGCACGCTGGCAACTCGCCTTTCTGGTCAGACTGTTTTCGAACACATTCCTGTGCATTGGGGCCTTTGAACCTGTTTCACGTTCTATGCAGGCTGTTCCAGATCTTTCCTTGCAACGTCTGTTTATTTCCTTAAACTCGGTAAGGCCCAAACCAGAGCAGAAATCCGGAGTGGGGTTTTATTTGGGAAATGGAAGTCTGGTAGCGTAACCTGTGAGCAGGTTAAAGGGTGATTATCAGGTCTTTCCTAAAGCCCACTTGGTGGGTTCTGTGGGCCAAGCCTTGGCTGTTGCAAATAAAATATAGGGTGTGTGTGTGTGTGTGTGTGTAGGTAGGTCTTTGGTTATTCGGGTTTTCTCCCACATAAAATTCATCATCTTCAGGCTGGTGTTTTCAACTTCGTGCTTCGAATGGGACTTCGTCGAAACATCGCCAAGACACTTCCAATTTTACGCGGGAGAAAACCCAAATAACCAAAGACCTACATACAAACACTCGCGAAAACCTCAGAAAACACACACACACACACACACATATATACATACATATATAGATAGATAGATTTGATTGTTCTGAATATTTGAATCTCAGGTGTAAACATTTTCTTAAGAATCAATAAAATTACTGAACTCCGGGATGTAGAATTTTACATCCCGGAGTTCACTAATTTTATTGATTCTTAATAATAGTAGTAACGTTGGAAGGGACCTTGGAGGTCATCTAGTCCAACCCCCTGCTTGGGCAGGAAACCCTACACCATTTCGGACAAATGGCTGTCCAGTCTCTTCTTAAAAACTTCCAGTGTTGGAGCATTTACTGCTTCTGGATATACGTGTGTGTGTGTGTGTGTGTGTGTGTGTGTGTGTGTGTGTGTGTGTATTATAGTAAAAGTAAAACTCTGAGGCTGTAATGTTACTATTTTCTACTGTGCGAAAGAGACTCGGAAGTCAACACTTTCCTTTTTCCCCTTTCTTTCTCCTCCCTCAATTTCCCATTATTTTCATTTTCCTTGTATTTTATATTCTGAGTAACAGAAGGACAGAGTAGGAAAGGGACCTTGGAGGCCTCGTAGTCCAACCCTCTGTACGAATATATCATTCCAGACAATTATCTATCCAGTCTCTTCAAAACTTCCGGTGTCGGAGCACCCACAAACAATTGCCGTCCTTCTCTGCACAACTTTTGTTGCGCTGCGAGCTTTAAAGTCAAGGCCTCTTCCAGTTTCATGAGGTTTGCCTGCTGAAAGGGATGTCCAAAAACTCTCAAATGGTCCAAACTGTCACTGGGGGGGGGGAGATCCATTGGCCAAGGGCCACCCAACATAAAATCCCTTCTGTTTTGAAAGAAGAATCTGTAACAAGTCGAAATCATTGTTGTTGTTAGTGGCAAAGTCGTGTCCGACTCATTGTGACCCCATGGACGACGTTCCTCCAGGCCTTCCTGTCCTCTAGCATCTTCTGGAGTCCATTGAAGCTCACACCTGCTGCTTCAGGGACTCCATCCAGCCATCTCATTCTCTGTCATCCCCTTCTTCTCTTGCCCTCCATCTTTCCCAGCATTAGGCGCTTCTCCAGGGAGTCCTTCCTTCTCATTAGGTGGCCAAAGTCCTTGAGTTTCAACTTCAGGATCTGGCCTTCTAAGGAGCAGTCGGGGTTGATCTCCTCCAGGACTGACCGGTTGGATCGCCTTGCAGTCCAGGGGACTCGCAGGAGTCTCCTCCAGCACCAGAGTTCCAAGGCCTCCATTCTTTGGCGCTCAGCCTTTCTTATGGTCCAACTTTCACAGCCATACATTGCAACTGGGAAAACCATGGCCTTAAGTATACATACTTTTGTTGGCAGGGTGACGTCTCTGCTTTTTAGTACGCGGTCTAGATTTGCCATAGCTTTGCTTTGTTGAAATCATAGTTTAACATAAAACTATTTTTAAATATGGGGGGGGGCTGGTGGTGGTCCTCCTCCTCCTCCCCTTCCTCTCTGCAAACCCCCCTCCCTTCTAACACTGATGGTGTTCCCTAGTTGGGCCATGAAATGTCTGCAAGAAAACCAGCCAGCCGGCCTCCTGCTCTCCGTCCCGTCCTCCAGCTGACGTGGTCCCCTTTCTCCTGCCAATTCCCGCTCTGCAGCGACTCTCCTCTCCCAGACAAGCCTGATTGATTGGACCAGATGGCCGGAGAGCACACAGCTTTTGTGGCTCAGCCCTGGCCGGAGCCTGGGAAAGCCTGCGGGCTGCTCCAGAAAGGGTGGCAGAATCCCAGCCTGGGTGGAGCCCCTCTGTCTGTCTGTCTGTCTCTCTCTCTCTGTATGTCTCTCTGTGTGTGTGTGTGTGTGTGTGTGTGTGTGTCTGTCTCTGTCTCTCTGTGTCTCTGTGTGTGTGTGTGTGTGTGTTTCTGTCTCTCTCTCTCTCTCCCTCCCTCCCTCCCTTTCTCTATCCCCCTCTCCCTCTCTCTGTGTGTCTCTCCCTCCCTCCCTCCTCCTCTCTCTACCTCTCTCTCCCTCCCTGTATCTCTCCCTCCCTCTCTCTATCTCCCTCTCTGTGTGTCTCTCCCTCCCTCTCTCCCTGTATCCCTCCCTCCCTCTCTCTCCCTCCCTCCCTCTCTCTATCCCCCTCTCCCTCTCTGTGTCTCTCTCCCTCCCTCCCCCCTCTCTCTCCCTCTCTCCCTCCCTCTCCCTCCCTGTATCTCTCCCTCCCTCTCCCTCTCCCTCCCTCCCTTTCTCTATCCCCCTCTCCCTCTCTCTGTGTGTGTCTCTCCCCCTCTCTCTACCTCTCTCTCCCTCCCTGTATCTCTCCCTCCCTCTCTCTATCTCCCTCTCTGTGTGTCTCTCCCTCCCCCCCCCTCTCTCCCTCCCTCTCCCTCCCTGTATCTCTCCCTCCCTCTCCCCCTCCCTCCCTCCCTCCCTCCCTCCCTTTCTCTATCCCCCTCTCCCTCTCTCTGTGTCTCTCCCTCCCTCCCTCTCTCTCTACCTCTCTCTCCCTCCCTCTCTCTATCTCCCTCTCTGTGTGTCTCTCCCTCCCCCCCTCTCTCTCCCTCCCTCTCCCTCCCTGTATCTCTCCCTTCCTCTCCCCCTCCCTCCCTCCCTCCCTTTCTCTATCCCCCTCTCCCTCTCTCTGTGTCTCTCCCTCCCTCCCTCCCTCTCTCTCTACCTCTCTCTCCCTCCCTGTATCTCTCCCTCTCCCTCCCTCCCCCCCTACTTCTCTCTCTTTCTCTCCATCTCTCCCTCTCTCTCTCTTTCTCTGTGTGTGTCTCTCTGTCTCTCTTTATCTCTCTCGGTCTCTCTGTGTCTGTTTCTCTCTCACTCCCCCCTTCTCCCTCTCCTTCTCTCTCTCCCTCTCCCTCCCTCCCTCTCTCTGTCTCTCCCTCCCTCCCCTTTGACGGTGTGTCATTTGTGTGTCGTTTCCTCCCCCACCCCAATCATTTTACATTGTGATTTTGCCCACTGTGGGTTTGATGGGGCTTCTTCGGGGAGCGGCAAGGCTGCTTATCTGGTCGAGGAAGACACAACTACATCCAGGCGGTCCTCGGCTCTACGGCCACAAGGGAGGCCAACATTTCTGTGGTTCAGAGAGACATTTGTTAGTGAGTTTTGCCCCCTTTTACGACCTTTTTCACTACCGTTGTTAAGCTGATCACTGCAGTAGTTAAGTCACTGACACAATCATTAAGTGAATCTGGGTTCCCCCCCCTCCCGGTCACAAAAGGGGATCACTTGACCCCCCGGGGATGCTGGGACCGTCTTAAGCGTGACCCAGTTGCCAAACGTCTGAGTTTTGATCACGTGACCAGGGGGATGCTGCAATGGACATAAGTGTGAAAAACAGCTAATAAGTCCCTTTTTTTCAGTAAACTTTTGTCAGTAAACAAATTGTTGTAAGTCAAGGAGTAGCTGTACAGGTATATAGAAATATTACATAGATATACAGGTATATAGATTTATTACATAGATATACAAGTATATAGATATATATCTATATATCTATAGATATATATACAGGTATATAGATTTATTATATAGATATACAGGTATATAGATATACAGGTATATAGAAATAGTATATAGATATACAGGTATATAAATTTATTATATATATAGGTACATAGATTTATTATATAGATATACAGGTATATAGAAATAGTATATAGATATACAGGTATATAGGTTTATTATATAAATATACAGGTATATAAATATATAGATATACAGGTATACAGAAATAGTATATGGATATACAGTATAGATTTATATAGATATACAGCTATATAGATATACAGCTACATAGATATAGTATATATTATACAGATATATGGATATCTAGATATACAGGTATATAGATCTACAGATAGTCCTTGAATGTTCAGAGTTGCAACAGCACCAGAAAAGGCGACATACAGTCGGTGTTCGCACTTACGACCGTCTCAGCACCCCCCACGGAAGCCACGGCATCAAAATTCAGCCACTCGACCGTTGGCCTGTATTTATGACAGTTGCTCCGTCCCGGGATGGCGGATCGCCATTCAGGAACTACCAAGCCGGCTTCTGACCCGTCAACGGGGGGGAAGACAGCTTCACTTAACAACCGGGCCGTGAACAATTGCAAGCGATTCGCTTAACAGCCACATCCCCCCCCCCAAAAAAGGTTGTAAAATTGGGCATGACTCGCTTAACCGCCTTGCTTAGCGGCGGGGAGTCCTGGCTTCAAATCTGGTCGTCAGGCGAGGACCCCCCGCGGTCCTTAAAGGCGAGGCTTGGGAAGCTCTCCCTGTCTTGAGTTCGCAGGGTGCCCGCTTGCATCTGCCGTGTTAACGTCTCCCCTCCCCTCTGTCTTCTCCTCCCCCCCCCCCCAGACTCTCCAAGGATGAATGGTTCCAATGTGGCCAACACAACCCCCCCGGCGGCCCCCCCGGCAAAATGCAAGGAGGAGCAAGTCGTGAACGGCCACGATGAGAAGGAGAGCAACCCCTTCGCGGAGTACATGTGGATGGAGAACGAGGAGGACTTCAACCGGCAGGTGAGAGAGAGGACTCCGAGGGGGGGGCGGTCTGAGCCTCCCCCCTCGCTTCGGAGAGAGACCCCGGCGGAGGGGAGGGCGCCCCGCACAAGTCCGGGGGGGGGGGTACAATGCGTCCTTCGGCAGCAGAAGGAACTCTTGTTCCTGGGCGCGATCTGTGGCCTAGGGTGCAGTCTCCAAGGGCAGGCCTCTGGGTCTCCTCCTGGCTCCCCACTCTCCTCCGGGCTTCGTGGTTAGGGAGAAGGGAGCAGCCAGCCTGGATGCCCTTCCATGGGCGCAGAGCACAGCAACGCATGCCAGCTCGGAGCCTCCGTAGTGAGAATGCCAGCCAGGAAGCTGAGACTCACAATCTGATCATCAGCCATCTTGCACTAACTTTCTTCTCCCCCCCCCACCCCCCCGGCTCGATATCCCTGCCTTAGGGGGCTGAGCAGAGGCAGAATAACAGAGCTGGAAGGGACCTTGGAGGTCTTCTAGTCCAGCCCTCTGCTCAGGCAGGAGAGCCTAGACCAGGGGTAGGCAACCTTGGCCCTTTTATGACAGGTGGACTTCAATTCCCAGAATTCCTGAGCCAGCCATGCTGAGGGGAAAGGGAGAGGTTTCCAAGCTGAGTCAGGCTGGCTCAGGAATTCTGGGAGTTGAAGTCCACATGTCATAAGGAGGCCTAGGCCTTAGGCCAGGGGTAGGCAACCCAAAACACTCAAAGAGCCACTTGAACCCGTTTCTCACCAAAAACAAAACACCGGGAGCCGCAAAACCCTTTTGATATCTAAAATGAAGATAACACTGCATATATCCTTTTTTATCTTTATTATAAGTGTGTGTGTGTGTGTGTGAGAGAGAGAGAGAGAGTGTGTGTGTGTTTGTGTATGTGTGTGTGTGTACACACACACACACACACACACATTAAAAATAAAAGTAAAAATATGACTCTTGGGAATATCCATACTATTAAAACAATGATCACCGAGAGAATGCTTTAAGAGAATAAAATTACATACACACATAGGTAAAAAAAGGATATATGCAGTGTTATCTTCATTTTAGATGTCAAAAGGGTCTCTCTCTCTCTGTCTCTCTCCCTCCCTCCCTCTCTATCTGCCCTTGGTCTACCACTCCTCTTCCCCCGCTCTCTTTCTTTCTCTCTCTCTCTCTCTCTCCCTCCCTCTCTTTCTCTCTCTCTCTTTCTCCCCCCCCCCTCCTATCTGCTGCTCACCTGGCAAGCTTCAAGCTGTTGTCCAACAACCTCGGGGTAGGCAACCTCGGCTCTTTTATGACTCATGGACTTCAACTCCCAGAATTCCTGAGTCAGCCTAGCTGGGCTAGCTAGCTCTCTCCTGCCCTTCCTGCTTCCTGCAGAGACGCAGCAAAGGGAGGAGCTCCGCCCAGAAGCTTTTCAGCTCCTCGGAGAACAATGTGAGTGCACTCTCTTTTACACATATATATACACACACACACACACAAAACACACACACACACACACACACAGAGAGAGAGAGAGAGAGAGAAGCAGGGAAGCGCAATTGCCTCTCTCTGTCTCTCTCTGCAAAGGCAGAGGAGGCTGGGAGCCACAGGGGAAGGCTCAAAGAGCCGCATGCGGCTCCGGAGCCGCAGGTTGCCGACCTGTGCCTTAGGCCATGGGTAGGCCACCTTGGCTCTTTTATGACTGGTGGACTTCAACTCCCAGAATTCCTGAGCCAGCCACGCTGAGGGGAAAGGAAGGTTTCCAAGCTGAACCATGCTGGCTGAGGAATTCTGGGAGTTGAAGTCCACGAGTCATAAAGCGGCCTAGGCCTAGGCCAGGGGTAGGCAACCTTGGCTCTTTTATGACTGAAGGAATTCAACTCCCAGAATTCCTGAGCCAGCATGGGAGAACTATGGTCTCCTCATGACTTGCAGACTTCAACTCCCAGAATTCCTGAGCCAGCCTGGCTCAGCTTGGAAACCTCTCCCTTTCCCCTCAGCGTGGCTGGCTCAGGAATTCTGGGAGTTGAAGTCCACGAGTCATAAAAGAGCCAAGGTGCCCTACCCCTGGCCTAGGCCTAGGCTGCTTTCTGACCAGGGGTCTTCAAATTTGGCCCTTTTATGACTGGTGGACTTTAACTCCCAGAATTCCTCAGCCAGGCATGCTGGCTGAGGAATTCTGGGAGTTGAAGTCCACTCCTCTTAAAGTCTATATCAGGGGTCTTCAAACTTGGCCTTTTTATCACAATAATAATGATGATGATGATGATATAGTTGGAAGGGACTTTGGAGGTCATCTAGTCCAACCCCCTGCTCAGGCAGGAAACCCTATACCATTTCAGACAAGTGGCTGTCCAATGTCTTCTTAAAAACCTTCAGGGATGGAGCAGCCACAACTTCTGGAGGCAGGTTGTTCCACTGATTAAATTAATTGTTCTCACTGTCAGCAAGTTTCTCCTTAGTTCCAAGTTGCTTCTCTCCTTGATGAGTTTCCATCTGTTGCTTCTTGTCCTGCCTTCTGGGGCTTTGGAGAATCGGTGGACCCCCCTCCTCTTCTCTGGGGCAGCCCCTGAAATATTGGAAGGCTGCTATCATGTCACCCCTAGATATGATATCAGGTTTTCCTGATCCCTTGTACACAATTCAAGGGTCACTTTAGACTTCTGATAACAGCTAGAGGGGTGTCCACATTTAGCAACTTGAAGACTTGTGGACTTCAACCCCCAGAATTCCTCAGCCAGGGTCCCCAAATATGGCAAGTTTAAGACTTGTGGACTTCAACTCCCAGAATTCCTCAGCCAGGATCCCCAAATATGGCAAGTTTAAGACTTGTGGACCAACTCCCAGAATTCCTCAACCAGTGTCCCCAAACGTGGTGACTTTAAAATTTGTGGACTTCAGCTCCCAGAATTCCTCAGCCAGAGTCCCCAAACATACTGACTTTAAGATGTGTGGACTTCAGCTCCCAGAATTCCTCAGCCAGAGTCCCCAACCTGGCTGGCTGGGGAATTCTATGCGTTGAAATCCGCAAGTCTTCAATTTGCCAAGTTGAGGGACCCCTGAATTTGGGAGGGAGGAGGGGGGGGTCCCGGAGAAGAAGAAGAAGAAGCAGCAGCCTTATCCCTGGGGATTACGAGCGTGCAACGGAATCGCTTGGACCAGCTGCGTGTCCAGCTGCCTCCAACCGGGACCGAGACACACTTGGCCTGAGGCAGCCAACCAAACAGCCCCCGAGCCTCTGAATCGGTTGATTTAGCAGCCCACTTTTCATGCACTTCCAGCAGATGACAAATATCCAAGTGAAAACAGGACGGCGACCCGCAGTTCTCAAAGTAGAAACTCTTAAGGAAAGCCCAGGACTCGAACGCTTTGCAAAATCAGAAACCAGCGCAGGAGGCACCGTCTGTCCCTCAGCCAGGGCAGCTTGAAGCAAGAGTTTTAGGGCGGCTGCTTCTAAGAGCGGGATCCCAAGACTGCAGCAGGCTCCGGCCTGCTAATTGCAGGAAGCAGCTGCTCCAAAGGGCCGTGGGACTGCAGCTTTGGGAAGCTTTAATTGCAGGCAGCCGGGCCTTGAACCCTGCCTGGAAGAGGAAAAATACAGGTCGTCAAACCAGCCGGGTGTGTTTGGCCTCTTCACAAGCCACAGACGTGGGCTGAGGGCAAATGGTGCAGCTTTCGAGTCCCCTTCAGGGCCAGGTCTGAGCTGGATTGCGGCTGCAACACTTAAGACTCTGAGTCTGTGGAGATTCTCCACCATCCAGGGCCTGGTTGTCCCAAATGCAACTTTTCCAAAAGGATATAGAAGAATGGAATGGAATGGAATGGAATAGAATAGAAAATAGAATAGAATAGAATAGAATAGAATAGAATAGAATAGAATAGAATAGAATAGAATAGGGAACAATAGAATAGAATAGAATAGAATAGAATAGAATAGAATAGAATAGAATAGAATAGAATAGAATAGAATAGAAAAAATGAATAGAATAGAATAAATATTGGATTATAGAATGGAATGGAATGGAATAATAAGAATAGAATAGAATGGAAGAGAAGAGAAGAGAAATAAGAATGGAATAGAATAGAATAGGAATAGAATAAAAAAGACGAATAGAATAGTGTAAGAAATAGGAATGGAAGAATAGAATAGAATATGGAATAGAATAGAATATGGAATGGAACGGAATGGAATGGAATAGAATATAGAATAGAATAGTAAAGTGGAGTGGAGTAGAGTCGAGTACAATAGAATAGAATAGAATAGAATAGAATAGAATAGAATAGAATAGAATAGAAAATATGGAATGGAATGGAATGGAAGAATAGAATGGAATGGAATGGAATGGAATAGAGTTGGAAGGGACCTTGGAAGTCTTCTAGTCCAGCCCTCTGCTCTAGCAGGAGAACCTATGCCATCTCAAACAGGTGACTGTCCAGTCTCTTCTGAAAAACCTCCAGTGATGGAGCACCACGATTTCTGAAGGCAAATAATAATAATAATAAAAAAAATTTGGAAGGGACCTTGGAGATCATCTAGTCCAACCCCGTGCTCAGGCAGGAAACCCTATACTGTTTCAGACCAATGGCTGTCCAGTCTCTTCTTAAAAACTTCCAGTGTTGGTGTATTCACCACTTCTGGAGGCAGGTTGTTCCACTGGTTAATTGTCCTCTCTGTCAGGAAGTTTCTCCTTAATTCCAGGTTGCTTCTCTCCTTGATGAGTTTCCACCCGTTGCTTCTTCTTGTTTGTTTGTTTTTTCCTTCTCAGCAAAGATTAGAGTCAGATTCACATCCTAACACAGAAGATTCTCAAAGCGAATATAACGATAAAACCAGAAAAGAATTGGGGGGGGGGGAAATTGGAACATTGAGGCAGTGAGATTATTTTACACGCAGAAATGGAAGGAGACTTTTGCTTCCCACCCTGGGCAAAGGGCTGGCAAAGTTGATGGAGTTAGCAGAGATGGCTAAATTGACTGCTTTGGTTAAAGGGGAAAAAAACCACACAATTACTTTTGTTTCTACTTGGAAACCGCTT